TTTAAAGGTGACTGCAGGCTGGCGCGCCCCCTGGTGGCTGGCCAGGGAAGGACCTGGGCTGGGTGTGTGTAGAGCTCTGCAGGAACCTTCCCAGATTTCCCCCTCCCCATCACCCTATCTTGTGAGGCGGTTGGTGTCAGCTGGTTATCCCCATGCCCACAGACTCACTCACCCAAGGCAAGGGACCCAGTGGGAAGAGGAGCCCCCACCCAAGTCTGGGTGTCAGAGATCCACACTCACCATGCTGAGCACGGGGAAAGCCATTGCTGGAATCATCCCTGGCAACAGGCACAGGCTCCCCACCCACTTCTCGGTAAATGTCGAACTCCTGGGCCAGTGTGTGGATCACCACAGACAGGTCCTGCTCCCGCACCTGGGCCAGAGGGAGATGGCCCATCACATGGGTTCCCAGGCACCCTGTCCTCCAGCACCTGTGGAAAACTCACCAAGATGAAGTCCGTCTGGTAAGTGGACAGCATCAGCACAGACACATGGTGCTCAGCCAGTGGGGCAATGACTGAGCGGGCAATCTTGGTGACCCCAGCAGCCTGCACTGTTGCACCGCTGTGGGATGACACATTCAGCACCAGCCACGTGGCCTCAGCCACTTGCAGGAACTCAGATGGGGGCAGTTCTGTAGGCAGAGGCACACACCAGGTCAGGGCCTGTAGGACTGGCCCCTGACCCTCAGTTTCTCTGTGTGTGCCTTAAGGTCTACCCAAGTAAGGGCAGCGGGGCAATGCCTGAGCGGGCAATGACTAGAGACTGGAGCAATCTCCTTCCCTCAAATTCTGCTCCTGAGCCCTGCAAGTATGCAAGGACTGAGAAAAGTTCAGGTGCTGGCCTGCCACTGCCTGCATCCCAGTTAGGGTAGAAGCACCAGATTCAGACAAACCTAGGTTCAAACCCCAGCTTCGCCAATTACTAGCTGTTGACCTGGGACAGATGATTTAACGTCTCTTGACTCTCAGCTTCCTCATCTGTAAAGTGGGATGACTTATGTACCTCATAGTTCAGAGAGGCGTTATTCCACGTGGCACCAGCAGGGGGCGCCAACAGATCAGGTTGGCTGGAGGGTGCCGTCTCCCTTAGCCGACCCAGACTTTCCCTGAAGTTCACACAGGGAAACTAAGGCCAGAAGGGGCGCAGTGGAGGACGGGCCAAGCTCCAGTTGGCGGGCCTGAGTAGTAGGCGCCAGATCTCAGCTCCAGGGACCAGGGAGGAACTAGGCTGGAGTCCAGTCCAGAGCACAGGCTGGGGCCAGGGTGGCTGCTAATCACCCAAGCGCAGCCAGGAGGCCCCCGCGGACCCTGCACTGGGCTGGCAGCCTGCTCCTGCATTCCTTCCCTAACCCTCGGGCTCCTGGAGTTCCCAGACCAGCCAGGGAGGGGATGATCCGCACCAGGGAGACAAGTCCAGGGGGAAATAATGGGGGCAGTGGGCGTGTATCGCAGCCACAGAAACCCTTGATTCTTGCCGGGATCTGTAACTGAGACCCTGCTGTTGGCCTGAGGCTGCTAAGTGACCTTCACACACAGCTCAGTCTATAAAGCCCTTAGGAGACCTTATTAGATCAGAACCATAACTAGACTCATTTCACATAAGCGTAAACAAACAGCTCAGAGAAGGGAAGTGATTTGCTTAAGGGCACACAGCCAGTGCGTGGTAGAATCGAATCCGAACCTCGATCCATCTCCCTTCAAAGCCCCAGTTCTTGGGACACTGGATCCCAACATCTAGTGAGAACCCTGCAGAGGGTGGCGCAACATCCCTCCCCAGCCCAGCCCCCACCTTTGAAGCCCTCCTCGTCCACCATGAGCGTGTAATCCTCGGGGGTCTCCGTCAGGCTGAAGAACTTGCACCTGGTTAGGGATGGGGGCGGGTAGATTTCTCACCATCCACCCAGAAAAACTCGCGCCGGGCGCCTCCCTGCCCTCTCAAGCCACAAGCTTCTCCCCAGGGCAGTGGGGTGTGGGCCCCATCTCCGGAATCGCAAACTGTTTTCTGCCTTCCGAGCTCCGCAGGAGTCTCCCGCCCCTCCATTCCGGGAGGCTGGAGAGGCTCACCGGCGGCGACGGACTCTGGGCCCCTAGACAAGCCCCAGTGACCCGATGGGAGCCGCCCGGAAGAAACGCCGTGCAGCCGTCAGGAAGGAAGGCCCCCACTGACACCACGAAGTTAAGCATTGCCCACCCCAGGCTGTTTGCGCTTTAACTGGCCCTGGCAGGTGGCCCCACGGGGCCGGATAGGCGGCGGTCCCACAGAGGGTAGGCCCAGGCCGGATGGCGGCCGGGGGTGGTGTAGGGGCCTTCCCCGACCGCTCCGTCTTGCCCCGTGGCGATTTTTAACTTTCCGACCCCGTCCCGGAGCAACAGCGCAGCCCACCACATCTGTATCCCGGAACCCGGACGCGCACCGGCTACGGCGGGGCAGGAAGAGCAGCTTGATGAGTGGGTGGGTGTAGAGCCAGAGACCGGGGCGGGCGAGGCTCAGCACCCGCACCCGGTGCTCTAGGATGTGCAGCTCCATCGCGGCCCGCGCAGACCCGACCCCGCCGCCAACTGGACCCAGGCCGCTCAGCGGACGAGGCGGCGGGGGCGGTACCGGGGGCTTAAAGGAACCGCTCCGTGGCAGCGTCCACGCCGCCGGCTACGCCGCGGACCAGCCCAGCCCTGCGCGGAGTCCCGCTCCTGACGGCCACGCCCTACGGGATACCCGGCCTATCCGGGGTGGCCACACCTCCTTCTAACTCCAGAGCCTCACCCGGCTCCAGCCTGCCCCAGCTGACTCCGCCCCTTTAGCTTGGCTCGCCGATCACGGGCTCACCCCACCCCGTTGAGTCCTCAGGCCCCGCCCATGCCGCGCCCCGTCTCCGACCTTTCTCGGCAGTTCCCCGAGAGCGTTAGGGTTGCAAGATTGCGGATGGCGTGGGGTCGTTTCTATCCTTTGGGCCTCTATATGGGTCTTATGATTGAGGTCGTTGAGGCTTGGTAGGGCCGTGAGGCGAACTGGAACTTGGCTGGGAACCCAAACCCCTGAAGCATGGAGGAATAGAGGTCCCGCTGTGCAGCCCCAGCGACCCAGTGATTCTCTTGCAACAGTGGGTCCTGGTGCCTTTCTCCCTCCTTCCTCTCATGGAAGAATAAGCAGGGTCACAGAGATAGGAACAGCCCTAACCATCTTTGAGCCACATACTGTGAGGTGGGGGCTGTGGTCAGGCCAAGTCTTGCGGCCCCACACTACGTGCTTGGGCTGGGGATGCCCACAGCTCAAGATACCCACATAGGAGGGCAGGCCCACGCATCTGGGGCTCACCGGGTACTCAGATCTCAGACCCGTGACAAGCCCTACTGAGGCCTGCCTAAGCCTGCAGCCATTAGCAAAACCTGGTTGGACTGAGCACATCTAAACTTGTTCACGCCCAAGGAGGCCCCCAGCACTGGCAGATACCCCATATCTGAGGTTTATTAGGACTAACTTGGGCTCATTTCAGTGTTAGGACTGTGTTTTGCTCAGGCCTCCTCAGGTCTAAGAAGACCGTAAGGCTGAACAGGCATCAGCACACCCAGGCTGAGCCTGTAGTAGTACTGAGTATGCTCTGGGGGTCCCTTGTCTGGCCTGAGCATCTTCAGGCCTCAGATCTGAGGCTTTGAACTAAGCAGATTAAAGCATGCCTTGGGCCTGACTGGGGCCCAGCAGGTCTGCACAGGCTATCTGCCTGCTCAGGAGCTCCACTGTAGGCGGATGGAGGTGGGGCAGCGCCTTCCCTCCCTGGACTCTCTGCTGGGTGGGTTCCTGTGGAACACTGTACAGCTGCCACATCCTGGCCTGTCCCCTGGAGGGCCAGGGGGAGGGGAGTGTTCTTGAAGGCTAAGCATTCATTCATCCATGGCAGGTGTATCAATGGGGGTGGGAAACCACAGCAGTGAGGGGGCGAGGCAGGAAGTGGGTGGCCTGCCCAGATAGGCTATAACCCTTGGCCTCCCCAGGCCTCAGTATCCCCAGCTGTTCCAGGACAAGATGTTCAGGCCAAGGCCCCATGATGCCTGAAAGCTCCTAGGGAGGCTCTACCCCGCCCTCTCTTGCTCCCCTCCCCCATGACCCGGCCCAGTTTGGTGGCCTGCCAGGAACAGTGCTATTGTTTGACTGGAAAAGCTGCTTCCTCAGCAGAAGGGGGGCCTCTCCCAGGGACGCCCTGTCCTTACCCTCACCAGTCATCAGGTTGTGACCATGCCTGCCTAGACCCTCAATGGCAGAGTCAGGTCACCCCATAATGTGGTCAGGAGAGATGGATGAGTGGCTTTGGGTGCAAATCGGGTCCAGCTTCCTACTTCCCGCTCAGCTCCTTTGTTCCCTCATCTGTAAAGTGGGGATAATAACAGAGCCTACCTGATCGGCTGGTGTCACAACCAACTCAGCCTGCGATACGCTAAAGTGCTCAGTAAATGGCAGGTGGCCTTTGATCAGAGACGCAGACTTTTCCCCTCACCCCCCTGCCTCTGATGGAGGTGCAGGCTGAGCATGTGGGCCACTAGCTCTCTACACAAACCTGGTCCCCTACCCAACCAGAATGAGCATTTCTGGTCCCCTACCCAACCAGAATGAGCACTCAGAATCTTCCTGGGGTCCAAAGTGACATCCAAACAAGGCCTTGTGGAGGAAGACTCTGCAAAGACCTCCTTACAGAGCCCTTAGCCCTCAGTGATGTATAGGGGTCAATGCCCAGGGAGCAGGCCCTGCTTGCCCCAGCACTGGGCTCCAGCCCTGGTGACCTTCATCCATGGTGATATGGGACAGAAGGGATAGAATGAGGGGCAATGGGAGCCAGGAACAGGGGCTGGTCCTGGACTTGTCATCCCCTTTGGTAAATGTGCTTCTTAGAGAGGCTCTGGTGCTGGGCTAGGACCAGGATGGAGGGCTCTGCAGGGCATGGAGGAGAGATGCTGAGGCGCAGGGGTGGCACCCCCATCCCAGTCCCTAGGAGCACACTAGCTCTCTACACAAACCTGTTTATTTCTGTACAAAACCATGTTTCTATTTTATACAAAGAGCACCCCACCCCTCACTCACCCTGTCCCCTCACATAGTGCCCCGGCCCTGGGAGCATACCCCCGGGAGGAGGGGGCTGAGGGAGCCCCTGCTCATCGGCCCTCACTTCTGCCTGTCCCAGCTGGGCCAGCCCGACCTCCACTCTGGAGAAAATAAATAAGGAGGCTCAGGCAGAATCTGTGCTGGGCCAGCCAGACTCTCTACCCCCCAGCATCCAGGCAGCAGTGAACTCATCAAGGGTGGGCAGGTCCTGGAGCATCAGTCCATGAACCGTGTAGCTGCTGGGTGGAGACCCTGTCCCAGAAGCATGAGTGCTGGAGTTACAAGTAGGTGTCCTCACTCTCCTGGGATGTCAGACTCTCCTGGGAGCAGTGGTGGGCTGAGTCCTGGGGGGCTGGATCCTCAGGGGCTAGATCCTTTGGGGGCATGTCCTGTGGGGCACAAGCATCTCCTGCAGCAGTTGCCATGTTGGCTTGATTTGGGGTTGGAGGCTTGTCCAGCTGCCCTCTCTCCTTTGCCTGTTTCTGTTGCTCCTTCTGCTCTTTCTGAATCTGCTTGGGCAGCTTGGGCTTGCCTTTGGAGCCAGGGAGGCGGGCATCAGGGGGCAGGCGGATTGACGGGGAAGGTTGCAGGGTGGGCCAAGGGCCTGGCTCTGCTTCCAGGATGGCCTTGGCACCATGCAACCTGGGTGGGGAGCAGCACTGCAGCTCACCCCGGGTCTCCTGCCAGCGCCGCAGCTGGAGGAGGTGCTCACGCTCAATCTGGCGCTCTGTCACTGGCAACTCCACCACCTGTGGGAGCAGTGATAGGTAGGTGGGCACCAAGAAGAACCTTCCCCTTCTGCCTCCCAGCCTGGGTCCCTGCTCTTCCTCAGTGTCTGCCAGTCTCGGCCACTTAAGGCTGACCCTAGGAAGGATGGCGGCCTGGTCCCGCAGGTGGTCACAAGTCCTGGAGCTGAGTGCTAGGTGAATCAGGTGCTGCTTGAGACCCAGGCATCAGAGGTAAAAGCTGCCCACAACTCATGAATCCACCCGCCTAATAATGTGTCATCTAATTACAGCCCCTAAGACAAAAATCCACAAAAGAAAGAAAAAAGGGAAAATAAAGCCAAGGTCATGGATGTGGTGCCAGGAAGGAAAATGGGGTGACAGGTTGAAGCTCCTTTCATTCCCAAGTGGCTGAGAACAGGGAAGGCCCTGCAAACCCAGGCCTCTCTGTGCCCATCTCTTCTCATTCGGACAGGAGGATGAGGTCTACCCGCACCATCCTGGGCTGCTGAGCACCAGGCCTGGTACTGGTGACCTATTCTTGGGGGCAGAATGTTACCAGGCCCCTCTCCAAAGGGCCCCCATGTCTCCCCCTCCGTCCCAGGAGCTAGGAGAAGGTATGGGCCTTACCTCCTGGACCAGGAAGGCCTCCTGCATGATCTTGGGGCTGAGGCTCCGCAGGCGCTCGATAGTCTCGTACTGGCCCTGGCAGGCTTTGAGCTTCTCAGGGGAGCCCAATGCGTGCTTCAGCAGCACCAGCCCCACCCGGAAGATGATCTTGACGCCTGCACAGGATGGGGGGGCAGTGAGTGCATGGGGGCCTTTCGGGAGTTTCTCTGGAAATAGAGGCCCCCAGTGGACTGGGCTGGAGGCAGGAGTGCTTCCTTGAGCCCAGTCCAGTACCTTCACAGAAGAACATGTCCCAGACACGCAGCACGGAGCTCCAGGGTAGGGTTCGGGCGAAGGCACACATGAACCACTCTGTCATGTACAGTAGTGGGTCAATCTTCTGCCGGCTGAGGTGTTTGTGGGCCACAGGCGACACCTTCTGCAGCAGCGAGAAGAGGATCTCCCCGTCCAGCTGGATTGCCTCCTAGGGGAACAGTGAAGCCATGTGGCCATGACTGCAGGCCCACAGCAGCCAGGGCACAGGCTACACCCTGGCCCCCAGCACCAGGCAGGCCTTGATTCGATCCTCAGGCACCTACTACCTCCAGAGTGCCAACATCATGCTTGGTGCTGGGGTACAATGTTGAGCAAACCAGACAAGTTGGTCCCCTCATGGAGAGGGCAGTGAAAGGGGGCAGGCAGACATGACTCACAGGAGCAAAGAGACGTGGGGGATAGAGAGGGGGGCTAAATGCCCAGACCATGGCAGGAAAGGGAGCCCTGGTGAGCTATGTGCCAGAGGTCCTACCTGTCAGGGTCAAGGAAAGCTCCCCACAGGCTAAAAGCTGAGGGAAAGGAGCACGCAGAGTTTAAGCCTATGCCAAGGACAAGACAGGAACTTGGTGCACGGGAGGAACTGTGATCCCACCAAGCAGCCAGATGACTGGAGGCAGAGATGAAGGCACGCGTGGAACCCATGACACTGAGCCTGGAGACCTGACCCCGGCAGGCCTTGGGCCTTGAGGCGAAAGCAACAGGAGACTGGGAAGGTCTTGAGCTGGGGCAGGAGTAGCTGTGGAAGAAAGATCTGGAGAGGCCACAAACAACATCCGGCCTAGGGCAGGTCCCAGGCCTGCAAGCACTCACCAGTTTCTCACTGTAGTAGCCAGGCAGGTACTTCTCACAGATCTGCACCAAGCACCAGAAGGCTTGCTGTGGGTAAGACAGAGGTAAGGTCTTGCTGCCAGGTGCTCCCACCCACTGGCCCACCTGCCCGCCCGTCCGCCCACCCGGGGCTGGGGGCACCTCAGCAGGCATGTGCATGAGCAGGACGGCAGCCACAGGCGCCTGGGCCTGGCAGTAGCCTTCCTCAGGCCGGTACAGAGTGTAGGCCTTCAGCACCCGGAGCAGGTCCTGCTGGCTGTGGAGAGGCCAAGTGGGAGGGATGACAGGTGTGGCTGTGCTGCCCACTACCCTCACCTGTGCCCCACAAAACTGGACCTGTCTCAGAATGTGTGCTTCCTTGGAGAGGTAATGTGACCCAACTGCAGTCAGCAAGGGGTCAGTCTCCCACTGTAGCAAGCAGGCTCTCACATGAGCAGAGGAGGAAGCATGTGACAGGTGACGGCAGTGGCTCACAGGGAGAGCAGGGCCAGGGCCAGGTAGGATGACAGACACAGAGTAAGGAAGCGTCAGGGTGGGAAGTGTGGGCCCCTCACTCAGCAGCTGTGGCCCCTCGGCCGGACCAGCTTTGTCCCAGGTGTCTGTCTTGGTTCCCTGCCTGGCCCACCATCTCTCTCCCTTCCTGCTTACCCTCTGCCCACCCACCTCTCTCTAACCCTCTTTCTCCTCACCAAAACCTGCTTCCAGGACAGGGCCAGCCAAACTCTGGCACTCTGGGGAGTAAATGATGAAAGCTGCCCCAGAGGCAAGAGGACCCATCAGACTCAAACCAAAGAAGGGACACTCTAGCAGTGGAGTTTGGGTCCCCCAACTTCTGGGCCCCTGAAATAACCCCAAATTCATTTTATTTTTTCTGTTCCAGGGACAGACCTAGCGCCACCTCAGCCCAGAAGGCCCAGCCTACTTACCCATGGCCCCCCCGGGACACAAACATCTCATGGAAAGGGAACTGACGGTGCAGGTCACGCTCAATCACATCCAGCCATTTAGGGTCCCCAGGGGACATGTCCAGCTCCTGGAAGCAAGGTCAAGAGCCTATTATTAGGAGTTAGGGATAGCTAGGAGAATACAACTCTCCCAGGCATTGGAGAGCCCCCCACCAGGGGCAGTGCCCACCCAATCCCATCATGGACTGGGCCCTCCTGAGGACAGGTGAGGAAGCCCAGGTAGGAAGCCTGGGTAGGGGCAAAGAGGTAAGGGGGGAGGGTTCTGGAAGCTCTGAGAGGTGATCCTGGCTCCAGGAGAACTCTCTGTGGGCCAGTGTCTATCATAGCTGGAAATAACTATGGCTGGAAATAACCTCTAGACATTTTCTTCAGGACTCACTTCAATACCTTATGTCAGTCACATCCTTAAGACGGAAGGCTACTATCAAAGCAATAGCTACCACCTGTTAGCACGGCTCTGCATATCCCATCGGCCTCACTGACTCTTCCTCAACCCCAAATGACAAGTCCTTCTTCTTGTTATTATATTGTTCACAGATGAGGACTCTGAGGGTCAAAGAAAAGGCACTTGTTCTAGAAATTTACCCGAAGAAAAGAGAATCACAAACCCGAATGTTAACTGCTGCATTCTTTACAAGAGCCAAGATATGGAGGCAACCTAAATGTCTATCAATAGATTAATGGATAAAGAAGATGTGGTACATATACACAATGGAATATTATTCAGCCATAAAAAGAAAAGAAATCCTGCCATTTGCCAGCAACATGGATGGATCTAGAGGGTATTATGCTCAGTGAAATAAGCCAGGTGGAGCAAGACAAATATCATATGATTTCACTTATTTGTGGAATATAAAAATAAAGCAAAACAGAAGGAACAAAACAGCAGTAGACTCATAGACACTGAGAAGTGACTGGTGGTTACCATAGGGGAGGGGTTTGGGGTAAATGGGTGGGGAGGGAAAGAGGGATAAAGGGGCACAAAAATTTCCAAACATAATGTAGACTGGTCATGGGGATAGTAGTACAGTATGGGAATATAGTCAGTGATTCTGTAACATCTTCCTATGTTGACAAATACTAGCTGTACTAGTTGGGGTGAGGATTTAATATGGGTAACTGTTGAACCACTGTGTTGTATATATGAAACTAATATAAGATTGTGTATCAATGATATTTCAAAAAAAATCAGTTAACCGGAAAAAAGAAAGAAAAGACAAGGCACTTGCCCAAGTCCTCATGGTTAGAAAAATGGTGGAGCTTGGGCTGGAGGCCAGGCTGACTAAGAGCTGCCGATCCCAACTCCTCTGCAGCCGCCTCCTGTGCCGGCAGCATCACCTCTCAGCGAAAGAATGTGTGACCACCCAGAGTGCTGAGGAAGTGGCATTTGTCAAACCACTAACCTCAGACTCATCTCTGGGGGCAGGGGTTTCAACAACGTTTTACTCTTTTCTTTAACTTCTGTGAGCATTTTAGCATGAATACTATTTATAAAAACAGAGTACCACACAAAGAAAAATCATTTCTTGGACATTTGAAATGTTGGTTACATGGTTGTGTATTATTTGTCAAAACACTGAACTGCATACTTAAGATCTATGTATTTTACTCTATGCAAATTCATACCTCCAATTTAAAAAAAAGAAAGAAAAAAATCTACAAAAAGGAAACTCAGAGGGTTGAGCAGGGAAGCAGACTAAGCATATGTTGCCTGCAGGGATGGGCAGTGCCAGGCGAGCCCCTGGCAAGCCCAGGTCCTCAGCAAACACACCGGTGGGTGTCGATCCAGGCTCTGGCCCTGATGGGCAGATGGCTTCATACAAGCCACTTTCCCTCTTGTTCCCCCTCCTCCTAGTGGGGGTGTCCCAGCACTGAGCTAGGGTCCCAGTTAACTTGACATGAGAAAATTAGTACTGTGAGAAGAAGCTGGTGGTGTGCTCAAGGCTGCAGCGCAGAGGGAGGGGCCGGGCACCTCCACAGAGGGCCCTTGAGCAGGCACACAGCTGAAAGGGTGGCTGTGCAACCTCTAGAGCTTCACATACCCTCAAGATGGGGGCCTGTGCGTGTCCTATGAAGACCCCAAGTGAGGCCCAGGGCCGGATACTATGAGTATAATGCAGGTGTGCTTTTGTCAGAAAGGGAGGGTGGGTCCCACGAATTCTCCTGAGGGCTCTGGTGAGGGGGAAACCTGAGAACCCGAAACGTTCCTAGGATGTGCTTGCATGGTACCTCAGCAGCTCAAGGTGTTTGGCCACACATGGGTGGGGGAAAAAGGAAAAGATGTAGCTGAAGGGCCTGTGGGGAGAAGGGGCTCTGCGAGTCAAAAGCAGATATGGGCAGCTGGCAGCTGATGTAGCTACCACAGTCCCGGTCAGAGCCTGAAGGCACTGGTGCCACCATGAGGTAAAACCAGAAAAGAAAACCAGGTGCGAAAAGGACAGAAGGCCCTGCCCTGCCCAAGGAAGAAGGGGAAGGTGGCAAGCACAGAAGACAAAGCCAGCAGTGGGTACAGAACCTGTCCTGGCAGCTGAGGTTGGGGTCAGCCACTTGCATCTCCAGGGGAGCAGAAGAATACATATTTGCTGCCCCCACCAGCCCTGTGACTGTACCCTTGCCTCTGGGCTCTTGTGCCCACAGCAGCCAGAGGGAGCTCTTCATCCCTGGCCACTTCCTCCATGTTACCCACAAAGTCCTTCCAGGTGTACTTGAGAAACACTGTTCTGGCCCCCAGGACTTCCTGGGTGACCCACCACTCATCTTCAGAACATCTAGAATGCTTTTCTTGGCAAATCTGTCTCCTCCCACAAGCAACCTTCAAGTTCCCACAGAGGTAAGACAGGACGGGAGAAAGACTCTGGGGTCAAGAGGCTGCTCAAGTCGGGCCTGGTGTTAGGATAGTCCAATCGCCGGATTCAGGGCTACCCCCAGCCAACACACCATCCCCACGGCTATCCCCCTGGGCCACGCGCTGCCAGCAAACAGCTCTCACAACAAGAAATGCTAGGCTGCCCCGCCCCACCCACACCTCTCAGGGAACAGGTTCGGCAGGTATGAGTGTTCACTGAAGCATGAAGTATGTCAGTAAAGAGCTGGTGACTGGCAGCTCTGTCTCATTGCCTGTCACCAGTCCCAAGAGCCTGGGAGAAACCCTGATGCCTGGGGCTAGGTCTGGCAGGTAAGCTGGGGCAACCCCAGGGGAGCCAACTGCCTCCCATAGTTCCCTCAGGGAGCACGCTGGAAGAGCTGCCCAGCCCAGGTAGGCCCCAGGAAGCCCCACGAATGGGAGAGGGGCAGCAGGTAGGGATGGGGGTAGGGAGGCAAAAGCATGGCTGCAGTGGGCACCCTCTCTGGCCACTGACTGGCTTCTAAGCCCTAAGTAGACTGGTTAGGCTTTCCACCCTGAGGACTGAGAATCCCAAGCAACACAGGTAAACTGTGTCTGGTCAGCTTGGATGAGGCAGGAGAAAGAATAGAGGATAGGGGTCAGAGGTGTTGAGAGTGCTGTGGCCCTGTTGCGGGCCCCAAAGGCCAGAGCACAGAACCCACAGAAGTCATGGGAGTCGGGGTGTTCCCTCCTGATAACCAAGAGCTGGGAGGGGGCCCACTGAGCCCAAGAAAGCCAACCTGGGTGATGTCAAGAGAAAAAGCTGGAATGGGGGCTGGCAAATCTGTTCATCCCCAGTAGGCCTGCTCAGTGCTGGAGCTGCAGATGAGCAGAGGTCCCCGGAGTCACAGCCTGACCAATCGGGCACTGGCTGGGTGGCCGCCTTGGTCACTCGTGCTGCTGACGATCACTGCCATGGGGAGGATGTCAAAAGATGTGGAAGGGCTGGCAGCGTGAAGGAAGGCAACTCACGTCAAACTTTCCAGGGTTCTGCTGGAGCTTCACCTTGCCTCCAGACAGGTACTGCCAAGCACGGCCCCGCAGAGAAGGCGGGATGCCTTTCTGGCACCGCAGACGAATCTGAAAGTCAAAAAGAGGGCTGTGCCCATGCATACACCCAGGCGGCTCCTCCAGAGGCTGCATGCCAGCCCAGCCCCTCTGCCTTCAAGGTGCCTGGCAGGCCTTCAATGCTCACATTAGCAAGAGCAGAAAAGGGGAGAGAGGAGGACTTTCCTAATGTTGCTACAAAGCAGAGCCTATGATTGGGGGGGCAGAGTTTGACTGCAATTAAATATGCTGCCACCAGGTGATGGCAGAATCCTCAGGTGCCCTGGTCCAGTGGCAAAAAAAAGTATCCCTGAGGTCTGTCTCCAAATTCTGAATCCCATTACCATTTTCTGAATCAAAATGGAAGCATTCAAGTTGGAGGAGCCCCATGTGGTGCCAGGGAGAGATCTCTACAGTGTGGGCACAGCTGTAGCCACAGGGATGACCCAGAATGTGCTCAAAGACACAACCTGGGCACCTTCATGGGGGTGTCTGTTTAAGCAGCCATGTGGCAGGACACAGGCAGCCTAGAGCGGAGAGATCTCGGCAGCACTCAGAAGGAAGATGGGAGCTGATCCGAACGGTCAATAATCTGCTTGGTTATTTTCTTTTGTTCAGTAATTCCCTCTCTGTAGCTCTCCCTGACTCTGAGCTCTCACAATTAGGGCAGAAGCAGCTGGTCTGGGTGAGAGTCCTGATCCCAGCCCTTACTAAAATGGTACAGGTCTTCACCACTCCTCAGACTGGGAGGGGTAAGGGAGAAGGCATTTGGGGTAGCTCATAACCCACAGCTAGTGTTTAATTCAAATGTTTGTTGTCTTTATCAGAAAAAGGCTTCCACTACCAAAAGCCAGTTTGAAAACCTATCATGTCTTTTACAAATGGAGAAACTGAAGCAAAGAGTAGGAAAATATTAAGGTCACACTCAGGGACCCCACTATGTCTTAGCTACACTACACAGGCTGGAAGGACCCAGCCTCATAAACTTCCCACTTCCTGGTCTCTGGGAGCTTGACAGGGGGGCACACACACCTGGGATGGTGGCAGGATAAGGCTCTGAGGCAGCTGCCCAGATCATCCTCCTTGACCTCAAGGTCAAGGATCAAGGGGGGTGAGGGCAAAAGCAGAGGCACCACTCCTATAAAATGGGGTTTGGGAGCCTGGCCAATGACACTCCTCTCTGCCTCCGCACTAGGCAGCCTGCCTGAAACTGGAGATAGTTGCTCAGGACAGTGGGAACAGCACCTGGATGTGGGTTTGAATCCCTCACTGACCTTGAGCCAATCACTTCTAATCAATAATAAGATCAGAATGATAATAGCTAGGATTCTATTAGAAAAGGGGAAAAAACATACCTACCATGGGGTCTGACACACAGTCTATGCTCAGTAAATGATGGCTTCCTCTCTACCCCTCCATCCCAGCAGGATGCCTGACACAGAAGCCCTGGGGCCTTGGACTCGCACCTAACTTCCCCTCACCTGGAAAACCCCTCAAATAATCCCACGGAAAGCTCTCAGAGGAAAAAGAACAGAAGGCCCAGCTTTCCTGATGACCAGTACAAACAAGAGAAAACTTTCCAAGGGTTAGAGAGAGTCAAGAACCAGGAAGGAGACAGGCAGACAAGCTGAAGACAGCGGGGGAAGAGCACAGTGGCTGGTCCTGGGAGCCAAGCTTAAGCTTCCAGGACTGCTGGCAAAGGGGGAGAGGAAGGGAGCAGAAGGGAAACACCCCAGACTCTGGGAACAGTTTCCTGCTACTGTGGGACTGCAGTCTCCTTAAGGAAGCCACTTGGTCTGGGCAGGCTTTGGCAAAGGGATGGAGCATAGGCACAGGCCCTCCAGGCTCCCCCCGGGGCCAAGCTCAGCTTGAGTCACCCCTATATCATCACAGCCTCCTGTCATCCTGGGCCTGCCCCAGGGGAGCCCGGGATACCTTCAGTCCACTAAGGTTCTCAGAGAGGCCCCACTCTCAGGCCTGGGACTGGGGAGGTGGGAATGGCGAGCCAGGAGCACAGCCAACAGCCAGCCTTTCCCACCCTGGCCTTTGGAACCCTCCTCAGCACAGAGGTGCTGGAGACAGCAATCTCCACCAACAGGCCTTAGAGAAGAGCCAGTGATGACGGTCAGCAAGGATAAAGCCAGAGAAAGTGCTCAGCAAACAGAAAGCACAGGGATTAGGATTCTCTAAGGCAACGCCTGGGAAAAGGAAAGCTCTGATGACAGTCTAATGAGGCCACAGTGGGCCTAGTGAACTAGAGAGGGCAGGGCCAGTTTGAGCAGAGCCCTGTGGGGTAAATCAGCATTCCAGCCAGAGACCTGTCTCCCTGCAGGGCCTGGCCCAGCTCCTGGGAATTCAGGATCAATCCAGAAGTGTTGGGTCTGGACCCACTTCCTGTAACAGGTAAGGTCCTTCCTGTGCCATGACTTCCTGACTACGGGGAGAGCCCAAGCCTGTGCAGCCAGGCAGGAAGAGTTCCCAGGGCCATGTGACCACAGCTGAGGTGGTAAGAGCAGAGCAGAAGAGCCAGCCGTTCTGGGTAGGGTGGGTGCAGCCTCCAGTGTGGCCACTGCTGGGCAGAGGTAGCCCTCAGTCTGTAACCACAGTGCCAAGGAAGCAAAGAAGAGGAAGCGGTACCGGCTGCTCTGCTGAGAGGAGCTCCCCAGTGCTTCCCTTTGGAATCCCCATCTGCAAGGGAGGCTGGGGCAAAAAGGCCCGAGCTGCTTCTCTGCCAGCCACTAGTTACAACAGACAATGAAGAGAGAGCTGAAGCTCAGGATAAGGGCCTGAAGAGGTAAGAAGGCAGGAAAATAGACCCCAAGCTGGGCAGGAAGTAGTCAGGGAAGAGCTAGCTTTAAAAATATATATATATATATATTTTTGAGAGGGTTTGACAAGTTTCCATGCACGCATACTGCTTTAGAAATGAAAAGTAATTAGGCATTCAGAAAAAAAT